GGACAAATTTTCAAAACCAACCTATTTGGATTTTTATTCCCAAAAAACGACCCCATTCAGTTTTATTTGCAAAAACCGACCTGGTTTCAGCCTCAGCGCTGAAACCAGGTCGGTTTTTGATTTTGAAAAAAACTCTCCGAAACTTCACGGGAGTTGAACTCCCGTGAAGTTTTTTGAACTACGAAACTTCACGGGAGTTCAACTCCCGTGAAGTTTCGGAGAGTTTTTTTCAAAAACCGACCTGGTTTCAGCGCTGAGGCTGAAACCAGGTCGGTTTTTACAATTATTTTTGAATGAGGTCGTTTTTTGGGAATAAAAGTCCAAATAGGTTGTCTTTTGAAAAAAACTCTCCGAAACTTCACGGGAGTTGAACTCCCGTGAAGTTTTTTGAACTACGAAACTTCACGGGAGTTCAACTCCCGTGAAGTTTCGGAGAGTTTTTTTCAAAAACCGACCTGGTTTCAGCGCTGAGGCTGAAACCAGGTCGGTTTTTACAATTATTTTTGAATGAGGTCGTTTTTTGGGAATAAAAGTCCAAATAGGTTGGTTTAGAAAATTTGTCCATTCTTTTCCTCATCCTCTGCACACGAAAACCCAGAACCCAAATCCAATCCCATTGCAGATTACTTGATGACTTCATGTGGGTTCTCATCACAAAAGGCTGCCAACACCAGCAAACACCTCACCCACCGCAGATTTCCTGCGAATCCTGATTCGGTCAGGCATTTCTTCAAACACAATGGCTTCACTGAGGCCAACATCAAATCTCTAATCTCCAATAACCCTGCCATCCTCTGGGCTGATGTGGGCAAGACCCTGGTCCCCAATCTCCAGGCGTTTTGCAGTTTGGTTAATTTCTCTGACTCCGAGCTTCGGAGGTTTATTGTCCCAAACTCTAGAGTTCTCACTAACCCCCATGCATTTGCTCGACTTGAGTTCTGGAAAACATTTCTGAACAATGACATGAAGAAACTCCTGTTGGTCTTTGCAAGGAACCGGAGTCTAATTGGTCGGGACATTGATAAGAGTATTGCCCCAAAGATTGCTCTTTTGAAGAGTTATGGGCTCTCCTCGATGGATATTAGCATGCTCTTCAGTAGAGGGTCTGGACTCATTATGAGAAATACTGCTTCTTTTGAGACGTCAATAAAGAAAGTTGAGGAATTGGGATTTCCACGTGGGTCTCCAATGTTTGTGCATGGATTAGCAACTGTTGGAAGTACCACAACTAATTTGTTGAGGATGAAGATTGAAATTTTCAAGTCCTTCGGTTGGTCGGAGAGCATGTTTTTCGCTGCAATCAAGAAATTTCCTAACATTGTTCTTCTCTCTGAGCAAAACATTAGGGAAAAGATGGAGTTTTTGCTGGAGAGGATAGGCTACACTCAGGATTACATTGCATCTCGCCCAACTATTTTGGGGTACAGTTTAGAGAAAAGGTTGAAGCCACGGCATCAAGTATGGGAAGTTCTAAAGTCAGATGAGTTGGTTGGTAGAGATTGGGAGTTCTATTCTCTCATACCGCTTAGTCATAAGGAGTTCTTTAAGAAGATCGTTCTCCGGTATAAGGATCTGGTGCCAAACCTTTATCAGACTTATATTTCTTGTTGTGCCAGCCAAATTTTATCTTAACTTCAGAATATAAATCGGTTCTTGGCTGTAGGAACAAAAAGAAGTTTTTCTTTGTATAACGTAGCAGGGTTTTAAGCACAAAGCGCGTGTATTGTTCCCAAATATTGATCTTTAGAAGGATTATGGCCTCTCTGAAGTCGATATTGGAGTAGTGATAGCTAGAACTAGTTCAGTCTTTAAAATGGACACATCATCTTTGGAAGCTTGTCTGAAGAGTGTTCAGGAATTAGGATCCCCGTGTGGATCTCTAACGTTTGTGCACGGGCTAAGGACACTTTTCTTTTATCTAATCTGAAAGGTTCAATTCAAAGATGGCAATTTTCTTGAGATATGGGCGGTCAGAAAGGGATTCTTTTGCTGCATTGCTGGAAGTCTACATGCTTAGTCTCTTTACCGAGAGAGAACATTTGAAAAAAGATGGCATTATTGGTGGGAAGAGTGGGATGATCACCGTCCTACACTGCTTCCCACCCTGTGATACTAATTTTATGCTTGCACAGAGGTTAATGCCTCAGTATTATGTAATGAATATCTTAAGTTCGAAGAAGTTACTCAATGAAAGAATTTTTATAATGTTATTAACATGTCCAATAACGATTTCTGAAGAGGTAAATTATATGTTACAAGACCCGACAATGTTTGATGCTGTGCTGCTTGTGAAGGTCAAGGCCCATGTTGACATATCCCGAAGATATGATAAAAGATGGATACCGATTTTCAAAAACAAATAGTAAGTTACTATCGCTCTTTCAAATTTTATCTTCATATTCCTTTATTATGCTTCATCTTTGCAACAGTTTTTTATTCATTCTTAATACTAGTATATTGGCACGTGCAAATGCACATGCAAGTATTATTCAATTACTATTTAAAGAGTTGTCGATCATGCATGTTAATATGATATAATCATTTAATGTGCATTTATAGTATCTCTAGTCAAAATATCGATCAAAATAATAACAAATTGTTAAAAACGATTAGAAGAATGAAATTGACCTTAAAATTCATATAATAGATTAGCGAGCATTAGAGTATATTAATAAAGCAAACTCCATTTTACTTATTAAAAAATATTTTATTAAATATTAAATACATGTTAAATAAGGTTCTTTTTTTAAAATATGTTACTACCTAGTTCACATTGTGTTTGCATTTTTATTCTCTTAAATTATATAATTTTTTAAAAAAAGGTCATGCATGAAATTTTAAATTTGAGAAGGAGATAGAGGAATGAAAATAATGAAATGTTCTAGAGAAAAGGAAATGAAAATTCAAATTTGAAAAAGAAATGGATTTTAAATTTGAAAAAGAGATGGAAGAGTAAGTGTGATGGAGCCCACATCAAGAGCATGGTAACAAATTACTAAGCTACCCTCATCTTTTATGAAAATGATCTCCAATTTTATACGAAATTGAAGGAATAAAAACTCATCCCTCCAATTTTCCATACGCCCACAATTTCTTTTATAGAGTAGTATAGATTCATTTTGAGCTTTTTCATTTGTGTTCTTTGTAAATTGATCGTAGTCCTTCCAAGATGCTAGCTTTAGCATAGAAACTCGATTTGACTTGGATTTTGACATCTATGAGCATGTACTTATTGATGTTGAAGTGCTTTGGTGAAAAACTTGTATCGGACTGAGTCGAGGTCAAGGAATGTCTAATTTAAGGTGGACCTTAGAGTGTTGTCTACAAACTGAATTGATCCCTTAGGTGCCAATATGAAGTTGTGTTGTGAGTAGGTGCCAATAACTCATACAGTGATATAATAAATAAATAGAGTAATGATTTTTTTTTCAATGACGACTATTGTCTAGAGTGGTGAGAGTTAAAACACATATGCTCACTTCAGAAGATGGTCATGGTTTCAATTTCTCCCACTATCATAAATTTTTAGATTAACCACTTTAATTATGATCAAACTCGCTAGTGATTTTCTCTTCCAATCATATACCATAGCTTTTCGGACATCTTTGATCACTACTATCACATTGATGTTGGTGTAGTCGCGCATGTGTCAGGTGCCTGGTTCTTGATCTATGTTATTGCTTCAGAAGTAGAGGCTTCCATATAGATGCCTTTTGATGTAGTTTATATTACTTTTTTTCCCTAACGTTGCATTGCATCGACAATCACATACTAATGATTGCCCAACATTCCTAAACATTGCACATTTCATGTTACATATGCCATATTCATGATTACTACTTTAGTGTTGGCAACCTCATCCGAATTGGTAAGTGTTAATGTCTCACTTTGTCTGGATATCAGAGAAAAACAATATTTAGCCCATTTATGTTCAAGAAGATTTCATCAACTTGTGGTACTTCAACTACACATATAAAAACATTCTGTTAAGACCTATACTTGAGTCACAAACAAAGTTAGCCTTCTATAATAAGAATATAAGAAATAGGAAAGTACCATCTTCATCATAGAGTAATGTCGAAACAATTTCAATTTTCAACCATCAAGTTGATGACTGAGATTGGCTTCTGCCATTTTCTTTTCTGAGTGTAGTTCTTGCATGTTAGATCCTACCTTCTGAACTATATTTTTTCAGATTGTTTCATATTAATATTGATTTAATTAAATTTAAGACCCTAAATTGACTCAGAATCATATTTCTGAGGGTGAGGATATTGCTCCATTCTACAACTTGTGGCGTAACTCGATGCTTAGGAAATTGGGATAACTTGTATAAGTTTCATAGTGTAAGGTGATAAGGATATCTCTCACTTTCATATATGGTGTAAGTTATAATTATACATATGGGTGCAAATTGTAATTATAGTGCTCATATGTAAGTGCATTCTTGGGTCCAGGAACAATGTATTTCCTCAAAAGGCCAAAACGATGTAAGAGATTTATTTATGTTTCTTCTTGTTTTCTTTGTACATGAATATCGTTTGCCAATTTCATACTGTTTTTATTGCCGTGCTAATTTCAAATGTCAAATGCTGATGGTGCTTTTACCATGACTGCCAAATGCAGTCATTTACAAGTTTCCTTGACCTTCTACATGTGTTTTAGTACATCCAATGCTCTTAAGCATGCATAACATCAGGTTATCAATTTTTTTCCGGATATTTTGAAAAGTTTCTTATAGTTTGAATTTAATGATCATGTTATTCTGGAGATGCACTTAATTTCACGGTTTGTTTTTATTCTCATATTATTTTTACTTTTTTTTGGAAGTCTTGCCCTTTTGTGTAATTTGATTTAGCTTCTATTTTTTCAGAATATTTCGATGTCTGCTCTAGTTGCCTTCTTTCATCACCCGACTTGAAGAGTATCACTTTCACAGGATATTTTTGGTGAATCGTAGGAAACTTAAAGATGCTTTGAAAATGGAATTTTTTGTTGATTCTTCTCTTTTTAGCAAACTTGTTCAGGATATAATCTAAACTCCAAGATGGTTAGTCCTCTAGATCAAGATTTTCTTCGTTTTGTCCCCTAATTTTATAATAAAGATCCTATGATATTTCAGTTATATGATTCGGATATTGGATTTCTTGCTAGGATGTATGGTTACTTCCTTGCTACCTGTTCTGTCTTCTCATGAAGAAGCATCTCTAATACCGATTTATTACTCAGTATTTCATTTGTATATACCGTATTCTATGAGCTCTTCTTTTCTTTGGACTAATTATTGACTAATGCGCTTTCTAGGCTTATGCAAGATATAGTTCCACAAATTAAGTTGTTTGCGGAAAACATAATATTAGTTTACAACTAAGAAAAATATATTTTTTGTAAGTAGAAATGAAGAGAAGGTTCAATTTAATCTTTCGGCTATCGCAATTTGAAACAATAACTCTCCTATTTGAAATGATAGTAATTTGGAATTACTTCTTTCAAGATAAGATTATGCAAAGGAGAGGTATTGGTTATACGCAATAAATATTTTGCCGAGTTTCTTGCAAATAATATCATTGAGGGCTCACGTGCAAAAAAAAAAAGTTTTCCAGGAGAGACAAAAGAGCATAGGGTTTTGAATCCAGCAGTAACGAGGTAAGAATTTTTTGAAAATCTCTTGCGTTGATATTAATTCTATCTTTAATTACTTTGATGCTCTAAACAATGATTCTCTTTCTTAAGAAGAGCCTCTCTCTTGGTCCTTCACCTTGTTCAACCCCCAAAAATGTCATCTTTTACCTCCGATTCTTCTTCTCATCCCAAAACCCAGAACCCAAATCCAATCCCATATCAGTTTACTTGATGTCTACATTTGGGCTCTCCTCACAAAAGGCTGCCAGCTCCAGTAAACTACTCCCCAATCGCAGATTCCCTTCGAATCCTGATTCGGTCAGGCATTTCTTCAAACACAACGGCTTCACTGATACCAACATCAAATCCCTAATCTCCAATGACCCTGTCATCCTCTGGGCTGATCTGGACAGGACCCTGGTCCCCAATCTCCAGGCCATGCGCAGATTGGTTGCTTTCTCTGAGCTTCGGATATTTGTTGTTGCAAGCCTGAGAATCCTCACAATCTCCCTTGCATTCGCTCGAGTTGAGTTCTGGAAAACATTTCTGAACAATGACATGAAGAAACTCCTGTTGGTCTTTGCAAAGAACCGGAGTCTAATTGGTCGGGACATTGATAAGAGTATTGCCCCAAAGATTGCTCTTTTAAAGAGCTATGGGCTCTCTTCCATGGATTTTGTAGTGCTCTTAGGTAAAGGTTCCCTTCTCATTACGAGGAGCACGGCTTATATTGAGATGTTGTTGAAGAAAGTTGAAAAGTTTGGATTTCCACGTGGGTCTTCAACGTTCGTGCGTGGGTAGTGTCCCTTGGAAGTACCACGACTAATAATTTGAGGCTGAAGATGGAAATTTTCAAGTCCTTTGGATGGTCGGAGAGCATGTTTTTTGCTGCAATCAAGACAGTTCCCAGCATTGTTCTTCTGTCTGAACCGAACATTCGGGAAAGGATGGAGTTCTTTGTGGACATGGCTGGGTACAGTCCGAGTTACTTTGCATTACACCCAATTCTTTTGACCTACGGTGTGGAGAAGTGGTTGTTGCCGCGATATCAAGTGTGGAAAGTGCTGAAGACAAATAAGTTGGTTGGTGGAAATCGGAGCATTTGTTCTTTTATGCAGCTCAGAAAAAGGAAATTCTTCGAGAGGTTTATTCTCCGATATGAGGATTTGGTGCCGAATCGTCACCAGACTTAATATTGCTTGTGGCGCCAACCAAATTTCACCTTAGTTGGTATCAGAGAAGAACTAATGGAAAAGATCTTGTCGACGTGGAATGTCTCAGGTTAGTCAACACTGACGTATGAAAAGATACACCTTGTTCTTGTTTTATGCTCATATTGAGAGCGCGACTACAAATTTTCAAGTCGGATCCTAAAATGATATATTATCACTAAAATGATATATTGCCACTGTCTGTTTTCTTGGTGGAAAGAGGAAGTTTGTTTATTTAGAATATAAATATGTTCTTAGTTGTCTAATATTTCACCTACTGTATTGATTTTGCATAGGTTACTTGGTAAACTCTCATGCCACAATATTGATTTTCTTAAAAAAAAAAGGGGTATAGGATATTATTTAAGTCAGTCCCTGCTGTACATTTGATTATTTGTCTTATAGTTTAAGCACAAATTCATGAATTCGCTTAGGCCTAAGCCCAGAATCAAATGGCTATTGGCTTTGCAGTTTGCACAGTATTTTCTGCTGTTCTAGAAAGAAACAACAAACTAGCACTGTTGGAATTATGGAATTATTATTTTTTCCGGTGAACATAGTAAAAGCAATTAAATATTGTCAGGATGAAGTAATTATAAAACTAAGGAAAATAATAATCTTTTCTAATAAATCTGCGGTACAGTTTTCTTCTAGCAAAAGATCATAACAGAAATTCTAGCAAATGCAAAACCTCACTCATTATTGGTGTGAATGAGTGGTGCCCACCCACGTGGGTACGTGGGTCTGCCCGCGTTCACGAGAATTCACCGCCCCCCCTCTGCTTTCTTACCCGAGCACGCAAGGCCCACGAGCCTCGACGCGCGCGTTTTCTCTTCCCGCGCTCGCGAGCCCGCCAAATCACCTGGGTTCATCTCCTATAAATAGGAGAGGTGGTGGAGCTGTTTTAAGTGGGGAAGAGTGGGGAAAATTGTGGGAAAAATCTCAAGTTGAGTATTTTTGAGAGAAAAGAAAGAGAGGAAGAGAGAACTTGTATAAGTTTGGTATTTTCCCTCCATAGTGAAACCCCCTCCCGTGGACGTAGGCTAGTTTGCCGAACCACGTAAAAATCTCGTGTTTGTATTTGTCTTATCTGTGAGTTGCCATAGCTTGTAGGTTCCCTCGAGATTTCAGTCCTTGAACTGATGAGAGGAAGAGTGTATATTTCACTTTGATGAAATATATCACTTTCGATTCTTGTTTCCTTTGAGAAATAAGAATTTCATTATCTATTCTCGTTTCCTTTGAGAAACAAGAATTTAGAGGTTGACTTGTGCTTTTGTGACAACGAAAGCCAGGGCTCTCTCTCAGGTGATATCGCTTCCGCGACGGTGGGCGTGATTCCGTCCCAACAATTGGTATCAAAGCCCTTATTCAGACTGGAGGTGGTAAAATTTCTGATCTGAGGTGGTGGTTGAATATTGTGTGGTAAAACACAAAGAAATTGTTAAAAATTCCTGAGAGAAGCGAATTGACATAATACAAGCGGAAAATGGCTTCTACAAGTAAAGCAAATAAAATTAGAAAATACGAGATTGAAAAATTCAATGGGAAAAATGATTTTTCTTATTGGAGGATGCAGATGAAAAATTCGCTGATTTCGTAAAAATTGCACAAAGCTTTGGCTGGAAGAGAGAAGCACAAAAATATGTCTGATGAGGATTAGGAGGAGCTGGATCTAGAAGCACGGGCGTCGATTATCCTTTGCCTTGAAAGGGATGTAGCTTTCTTGGTGGACGGGGAGAAAACGGCTGCGGGCGTGTGGTTGAAGTTGGAAAGTACCTTCATGACAAAGAGTCTAACGAACCGGATCTATTTAAAATCCAAATTGTATACTTGCAAGATGGACGAGGGCTCGTCAATCCGGGAGTACATCAACAAGTTCGATAGGATCATATCGGACTTGAAAGACATTGAGGTGACAGTGAAAGACGAGGATCAGACGCTTCTACTCCTTCTATCTCTGCCGAAGTCTTATGAGAACCTGGTGCAAACACTGATGCTTGTGGGTGAAAATTTATCGATGGATGACACTAGAACGGCGCTTCTAGCGGATGATCTTCGAAAAATTACAACTAGTGATATGGCCACTGGTGGTAACAAAGAACAAGCGCAGAGGCTGTTTGCCAGAGGAAGAGGCAATGAGCGAGGAAAAGGCAAGGGAGGAAAGTCTAGATCGAAATCGAGACCTCTTGCGGGACGAGCGTGTTTCAAATGCGGTGAAGTTGGACATTTCAAGGTCGATTGTCCTAACAAGAGAGTAGGTGAGAAAAAGAACAACAACAAGACTGAAAGACGAGAAGGCAAGGAAGAGGCGAGCTACGCTTCAGAGGATGGGAGCGATAAGGAATGTTATGTCGTCACGGATGGCGAGGATACCTCCGGGAAGTGGATTCTTGATTCTGGTTGCTCTTACCACATGTGTCCAAACAGGAAGTGGTTTACTACCTACAGGAGCATTGATGGTGGAACCGTATTGATGGGGAACAACCATACTTGTAAAACGGTGGGGCTAGGTAATATCAAAATCAAGATGCATGATGGAGTGGTTCGAACCCTGACGGACGTACGACACGTTCCCGGCTTGCGGAAGAATCTCATCTCAGTCGGAGCTTTGGACTCCGGGGGTTGCAAGATTGTAACAGAGAACGGAGTGAAGAGGGTTGTTCGGGGTTCCTTAACAGTGATGAAGGGTGTTCGTCACGGTAATCTATATACTCTCTCGGGTACGACGGTGACGGGAGATGCAGCAGTTGGAGCTGAAGGAAGTGGTGGAGACCCATGTGAGCACACACGGTTATGGCATAGGCGGCTTGGGCACATGTCAGAGAAGGGTCTGGATCTGCTTGGTAAAGAGGGTTTGCTGAAGAATCTGAAGAAGCCTTGCATGGATTTTTGCGAGGACTGTGTGTATGGAAAGGCGCACAGGGTTCAATTTCTGAGGAGCAAGCACAAGAGCAGAGGGATACTAGATTATGTGCACACGGATGTTTGGGGTCCGGCTTCGACAACTTCCAAAGGTGGTTCCAGATATTTTGTCTCATTCATAGATGATCATTCGAGGTATGCTTGGGTGTATTTCCTGAAGCATAAGAATGAGGTAATTGAGACATTCAAGAAGTGGAAGGCGATGGTTGAGAACAGGACGGGCAAGAAATTGAACACGTTGAGATCTGACAACGGTACAGAGTACACAGATGGTGCCTTCAAGGAGTTCTGTGATCAGGAGGGCATTGCCAGACACTGGACAGTCAGGTCTACACCATAGCAAAATGGGGTCGCGGAGAGACTGAACCGAACACTGCGGGAGAAAGCAGTGAGTATGCGATCATATGCTGGTTTGGGCAAAGAATGGTGGGCAGAGTCGATTGCTACAGCTTGCTATATTGTGAATCGATCTCCACATTCGACATTGGACGGTGATACACCCTATCGGGTGTGGTCAGGGGAGCATGCAGATTATGAGAGGCTCCGAATCTTCGGGTGTACCGCCTACTATCACGTCAACGAGGGAAAGCTTAACGCGAGAGCCAAGAAGGCAATTTTCTTAGGGTATGCAAAGGGTGTAAAAGGCTATCGCCTTTGGTGTACAGAAAATTCAAAGTTCGTGATCAGCAGAGACGTTACCTTTGATGAGAAGTCCATGATTGCTAGGGTGCCCAAAGATGGTGGTGTTGATACTGTCGGGACTCCCGAGTCCCAGATTATTGAGATAGAACCGAAAGACCAACCAGGTTCTAGTCGTGTTCAAGTGGGAAATCAGGTAGATGATGAGCTTGAGCAGGAGGAGGTTCAGTAGGATACAACAACAGCAGTTCGAGGATAGCTTGGCTTTCACTAGGCCAAGGCGAGTATACAAGCAGGTACAGAAGCTGGGGGCTGATCAACCCCTGAAGCACTATGGGCATGTTAATTTAGTGGAATACGCACTCTCGGTGGAGGAAGATGAGCCGATCTCCTTCAAGGAAGCTATTCGGGACAAGGATAGCGAGAGTTGGTTGGCTGCGATGGAGGAGGAGATGGAATCTCTCCGGAAGAACCAAACATGGGAGGTGGTCCCATTGCCCGTAGGAAAGAAAGCTATAGGTTGTAAGTGGCTGTATAAGAGAAAGGAAGATCCTTCAGAGCTCGGTGGTACAAGGTACAAGGCCAGGCTAGTGGCTAAGGGGTTTGCTCAAAGAGAGGGTGTGGATTACAATGAGATATTTTCTCCGGTGGTGAAACACACTTCTATTCGGGTGCTATTGAGTATTGTTGCTCATGGTGATCTTGAGCTGGAACAACTCGATGTCAAGACGGCCTTCTTGCACGGAGACTTGGATGAAGAGATCTATATGCATCAACCTGAGGGCTACAAGGTTGAGGATAAGGAGCATCATGTATGCCGCTTGAGGAAGTCACTCTATGGATTGAAGCAATCTCCTCAACAGTGGTACAAACGATTTGACTCCTTCATGCTGAAGCATAGATTTTCCCGAAGCGACTATGATTGTTGTGTTTACATTCGGAAGCTTCGTGGATGTGATTATATCTATCTCCTGTTGTATGTGGATGACATGTTTATTGCATCGAAAAACAAGGTGGAGATAGATAAGCTAAAATCTCAACTTAGCAATGAGTTTGAGATGAAGGACATGGGCGCTGCTAGAAAAATACTGGGTATGGAGATTAGAAGAGAG